GAATAAATGCTTCTATTGATACTCCGTGCCCTATAGTACTTCTGACACCCTGTGTTTTATAATTTTCATGTTTGCAGCTGGGATTTGCCTTGTAAAGTGGGTGAGTAATTAATGGTATCAAATAAATCTAAATAGGAATGGGTGGTGATGATTTAAATGTGGGGGGGGGGGGATGGACCAGGAACATCTGGCTTATCAGTAATGATGCTGGTTCATTAAATAGGGGAAGTACAATAAAACAAAACATTAGCTGTCTTGAATTGGATGCATCACACCTTCTGGGAGCAAGTGCCAAAATCTCAGTATTTAGTATAAATGTCTGGAATGCTAGCATTGTCTTAGTAAAAAAAATAAAACTCAGTGCAGGAAATTTTGCAGAACACTTTTAAATGAAGGACTGGAGGGTTACTGCTTACCAAAAAATGCAGAGATCATGTAGTCTGCAGCTGATCGCCACAAAACAATACAAGGTTCACATATGATAACTCACCATGGGTGATCAGCTATGGTGGGTTGTTGTGTTATGTGAACCCTGCATGTTTTCTGTAGGGCAACTTACTTTTTATGAACAAGTCACCCTGAGAACCCATGGCATGATTTAGGGTTGTTGAAGCCCATGGTAGCTTGTTGTGCTATCTGAACTAGGCAGAGTGATGCTATCATGCTTGCAATCTTAAAATCAATTTGCTCTTTGCAATTTTGGTTGTGCTTCTGCCGCTATCCTCCCTAATCCTTTCTCTGTGTTCAACCTCCTTTTCCCCTAAAATCTGGGAATATCAAGGTATGACAGCTAGCAGAGGAGGGAGGGGATAAGCAGGAAGAAAGTGAGGAGCACAAAGTGGTTGGAGGAAGGCACATTGCCAGTGGTGCTCTTACTTTGGTGTAAAGGCATTTACTGGTGAGAGCTAATAATGGAGGGAGGCAATAAGCAAGAAGAGGAGCAGGGAACCAGAAGTGGTCTGAGATAATGCTCTTTAAGAGCAGGAGCACTTATTTCTATGTAAAGTGAAACATTAAGAAAGCTCTAAAATGGAGATAACCTTGGCTAGGGCATTGACAAGAAAGTGACATCTGTATGCTTTGGTCTTTTGTTCTTTATAAGCCATCCAGAGACTTTTAGTAATGAGACGGCATAGAAAAACTTAAAATAAATAAATATGCTGGACTAAATATCCAAGAGTGTGTCTTGGCCATTGCACAACAGCAAAATCCTCCCTAGCCCACAACCTGGCAATGAATTTATAGGTCTCTGATATGTTATACCATCTGCTGATTTGATGCCTCAGTAGCTGGCAACCCCAGCAGACCAGCTGCAGAATGTAGGAGACAAGGTAGGTAGGAGTTCTGCTACAAAGGCGCCTGGGATATATCCTGGAGGGGAAATGACAAGGGGAAACAAGCCATGGCCAACAAGACTGTTTGTTGGGAGTATTGTGGGTTGTTTGGTGAACAACTAAGCCATGATGGCATATTAACAGGGTGGCTTAAGCAATGGTGGGCCTCACTGAATGTTTTTCTCACCATACCTTGCTGCATTCTGCCTCTTCCCTGCTGCCATTCATTTGGCTATTTTCCCCTTTGTAACATTGGATTTTGAATGGATTGTTCATCATCATTTCCAGTCTATAGAATCTTTGAGTGTGATGATAGGAAAATTGTAGAGATTGACTTCATTTTTATGTACATATCTTATGGCAATAGCTTTAAATGCATCTTTTTGTTGCTATGTTGTTCCTTTGATTTTGCTATATTTTCAGTTTAACCAAGTCATAGATGGAAATTAAGTTAAGCTAACTGCCAGTTCCAGAATCCAGTTTGATATGCATTTGCACTTGATTATAAGTTTGGTAGGTTTTCAGCGCAGGAGTTTTGTTCGTTCTTTTGCAGATATTCATGAGCCCAAAAGCACACACAGCCCGTAGTTTGCAGGTAGAGTAAATAAATGTTGTTTCTCTACGGCCATCTCATTAGAGAAGGTAACTACCAAGCATTAGTTGCATATATGTAGCTACTTGCCTGGCCAAAATGTTTCTAAGATCCAATAGAGGAGAGTGTGTACATAAGGAATGGGCAACATACAATCCAAGGTGTGCATAGCCATTTTGTGACCCCCACTCCTGTGCTCTCCACTATTCCCACCATTGCCAAATTTGTTCCTATCCCAAAAAGTGGCAATTTTGATTGAAAAAAGACACTTAGAGAACAAGCACTTTTCTAGGAGCATGGTTATGCCTCTGGACAAAGTCCAGAGGCATAACCATAATCCTTTGTCCAGAGGCATAATCCTGGTTTGTCCACCCAGGAGGACAAACAAGACTCACAGTCCTGGCACACTTTGTTTTGTGACAAAATCTTGGAGTATTGGAACAGTAATTTTGGTAGCAAATATAAGAAAGGGTGGGGGAAGGGTGCAGCCTCTGATGAATTCCTGGGAAGGCAATGGAGCCCCCTGCTCCCTGGAAATTGCCAGTCATTGTTCTGCAGCAAAGTTTTTTGTGCAATGGCATGTCCTACAATTGCTTATTCTGCTGTGCCAACTTCTCATGATACCAATGATACCATTGAAATCCTGGCCTAGCAGCATCACACTATACTGTTGTCTTGTCCAGTGGGGGGAGTCAGCATGTGTTGGACTGGGAATCAGGAGACATAGGCTCAAATCCTCACTTGCCCAGGAAGCTCACTGGGTGACCTTGGCCCTGCCCCATAACTCTTGTAGCTTAACTTCCTTCCCAGGACTGTTTAGAGGATAAAATGCAAGAGAAGAGGTTCATGTGCACTGCTTTGAGTTCCTTGGAGGAGAAGGCAGGATATAAATATGGCACACAGAACTATTAGTGCTCTCAGCATACAATGTCACAGAAATAACACAGATCCTGGTTTCGTAGTTGATGGATCACTGCTTCCAGGTCAGCTGGATTTAAGCTATGCATTTTTCCTCCCCGAGGCCCATCTCCATTCATTTGCATCAATGAGAAACTGTCCCTAAAGACGGACACAGCATGCAGACCCAGTCAAGAGGACAGTGTGTCTTGATCCTCTAAATCAGGTAATCTCGGCACAATGAGGAAAGACTCATATATCACACAGTACTGTACATCACATGGGCAGAGCCTCTGGATTTGTTGATTTGCATCAGGATTGACTGCCAAGAAGAAAGTGCTACTACCTCAACAAATAGTAGCAACAAAGCAAATTCCGAGGCAAGTCAATACAGCTCTATTCAAGAGTAATATTTTCACCTTCTCTACCTTCTTTCCCCAAAATTAACTGGTCTGCAAAATTGTGCTGATTGTTTGCAACAGATTTCCTCCCCCTCCATGCTGACATTTAAGACGAAAAGGGGCTGTAGTAAAATAATAGAAAACAACTACGTTCCAAAACAGTTTTTAGCACATTACTCTCAATGGTGCTTTGTGCTTGCTTGAAAAGCATTCTTAAAAATAACTGCTGTCCCAACCAGTGGTGGTGACACTGTGAGAGTTTACAGCTGAGTCACAGCAGTTACCAGAAATGGCTATTTCCATCTCTGGTAGTGGAGGCCAGCTGGCAAAGCTCAGGCAAAGCCAGGCTGAAATGTTCTTTTACATTGCTTCACATTCATTCTCTGTTTCAGTCTTTTCACAATACTCTGTTCTGAATCTCAAATGCTCTAGGGGTAATACTGATTTACACAAGACTGTCCAATCTTAAAACATATGAGTCATGGATTAAACATTCCCCTTGCCCCCTAGAAAGAAGAATGTAAACTATAAATGTATAATTATCACTCTTTGACTATTATTTCTGAAGTGCTGTTTTTTCCCTCTTCAAATATGTTTAAGTTATAAAGAGTATAATCATATCCTCAAGCTTTTCTCAAATATACTGAGGACTAGGTGCTTTGCTTCATGTAGTTAATAACAATTTTAAGGATTGCCCTAGATCTCTTCCCTCACCTGACCAGAACTTGAGATGGTAATGTCTTAAGGAAAGAAGGCGGATTATTTTTGCTATTACCAAAGGCATTAGTTGATTCCTTCTTGGCTCAAGATCCAAGATATGGAACATGACTGAGTGATCCTCATTACATCATTCCACAGAACAGGGCTAGGATTCAGAACATTTAAGAGATCAGGGGTTGCAATCAAACTGCCCAGACTAGGCAGTTTTTACCTTCTGTCACTACCTTTAGTTTTGAGAGGGGGGGGGGGGGGGGGGGGAGGGAGAGAGAGGGGCGGGGGGGCGAGAGAGAGAGAGAGAGAGAGAGTTAGTTAGTTTAATAATGCCATTAAGGGTGAATTTGTGTAATTAGGCAGAGGAGAATAAAAGAAAAGATTAACTTTCTGAAAGCTAAAGAAGGTTGTACTATTGCATTGCCAATCACTATGCATGAGTAGGAAATCAGAGCAATGAAGAAAGCAGACAGGAAGAAAAGTGATGTGTTCAAAACAGTGCTGCAGGAGAGGTTTGTGAATACATTGGATTGACAAAAGGCAAACTAGATCGCATCAAACCAGAACTTGCCCTGAAAGCAAAAACTGACAGAACTGAGGCTGCCATACTTTGGGCCCACCCATGAGAAGGAAAGATTCATTGAAGAAGACAATAATGCTAGGGAAAGTCAAAGGAAGAAGACAGGGAAAATCATGTATGAGAAAGGTCAATCCTGTAAAGGAAGCAACAGCCTTAAGTTTACAGTTGCTGAGCAGGGCTGGGAAGGAAAGGACATTTTGGAGGACATTCATTCATAGGGTTGCCATAAGTTGAAGATGACTTGACAGCATATAACAATAATAAAAGGACAGGTGAATATTATATTTTAAAGAGAGAATTTGATGAAAATGTCCTAAAACTTAATTGCCATGATGACACTTGAATTAGAACTTAACAAATTTAAAGAAACTGAGAAAGAGATTGCTAAAATTTTACCCAAAATGTTTAAAATAAAACTAGTGTAAATGCAAATAAAGTGAATTATACACCTATTTGATATAGTGCTCCATCTTTTCCCTTTCCAGGTGTTTATGGACAATTGCAAACTTTCTGTTCTCCACATTATACTGACAATCAGACAAATATACAACATGTTGGAACTTGTAATATGGTCCCTCCTTTTGAAGACTGCCTTGTTCCTACATCTATGGGTCAGACAGGTTTTGATGTTTTCCACAGAGCATTTTCAGCTCATTCTGGGATTACAGGTAAAACATATATTATGATCTTGCTATTTAAAGACACATTCCATAGCTTTGTGAGTTCTTTCTGGAATATTAAATGCATACAAATAGTATGTTGATTTCCTCCACCCCATTTAAGACTTATTCCATAATTAGATTTACAGCAGTTCTGCTATAGAACACTGCCTACTGTCCATCAAACCTCATTCCATGGTTATCATAAGAGACATTAGGGCTTTTTCATTTAAAAAGCATGCATAGAATTGCATCCTTAGTCTCTTATTGGGAAGGTTCGAGGTCACTTCACATATTACCACACCTTGCAGGATATTGGTTGAATTCTATGTAAAGACTGTATCATATAAGTTACATGTAAATCACAGCATGCACATGCACTGAGAGCAACTGTTGTGATTTTTATTTATAAATAATTATTGTATAGAAATTTGGTCACCTGTGGAGAGGCCATCAGTATGCTAGCAGCCTTGCCAGTTTTTTTTTAATTAGCTTGCATAAGTAGCTGCACGCATTTCTTTATTTTAAAATAGAGGAGATAAGAACTCCTCTCTGTTCCTTCATCACATAATAACTACATTCTTATGTATACAGAGAAGTAGTAGCCTCTGTCCTCTAATCTTGTCTTGATTAGGCATCAAGTAGACTAAGGATAAAGCTGGACAAAAGACACTAATCTCTCCACAACAGTTCAACATTTCTTGAGCTGAGCATCTGTGCCCTAGGACTGTTTCCTACATGCACATACAACACTTGCTTGCTGAACATATGTCATGATGTATATACATACAGGGTTCTGTATAGGCTGAAGTGCCTGATCCTGCCTAATCTTGGATGCTTGGCTTTGGCCTGGTTGAAATCTGGATGGGTGACTTAAAATGTTGTGAACCACCCAGAGAGCTTTGGCTACAGACAGTATAAAAATGTATTGTAATAATAATATGTGTGAACAGGCAAATGCATTATATTTGAACCTGGCCTGAAGTTTGTTCAGGTATTATGCATGGTGCTTAAATCGGGTGGGCAGCATGTGCACATTCAGGCATTCAAAACAATTACAGGCATTACCTAGTTATAACCTTTGCAACAACCCTATAATGTAAGTTTGAAGAGGAGTCTTCAAAAAGTTCCTGCACTTTTATATTTTATAAATATATTTTATATATTTTTTGCTGATGGCATTAAAAAGTTGGTATGATGCTGGGAAAAATGCATTGCAAAGGAAGGTGTCTATGTAGGAAAGTGATATAATTTGTTTTTGAAATTCTTAATAGAGTTTAAAAAGTGCAGAAACTTTTTGAAGAACCCTAATATTATACAGATAGAAGATTGAGGCTGAAACAGGTGACCTGAAAAAGGCTACCTAGTGAGTTCATGACAGGGGTGAGATTCATACCAGGGACTTGCTTTCTCTTGCATTTGAATTTTTAACATCTTATGTTCCTTCCTTCCGTCCTTCCTTCTCAGACGTGATTAAATTGGTAAATTTTGGTGAGTTCTTATAAAAAGCATATTGAAATTAAATTCTTACCCATCTCCACCAGTCCAATCCAATAGGTACAAGGAGGTACATCCCAGTAACAGGGATGTGTGAGGAATCCATTTTGGGAATGGAGATCCATTGGATTCCCTAGACTTAGCTCCACAGACTCGGGCTGTGAGCAGGCTTCCTAGAGAGTGTCCCAAGTGTTCACATGGTGCCTAGCAGGAACCAGGCCCCACACCATCCCTGCACAAGTGGCATCCCTTTTCTGCATCATATGCAGGCCTTTGTGCTGTGCATGAGGTGGAAAAAGGTTGTTGGTGGTACAGCTTTTCTTCTGTGGCCCTTTGTAGGCTTCCTGTTAGCTTGTCTCACTTTCTAAGACAGGCAAGGACAGACTTCCACAGAGCTTCATCACAACCCTACCTGTCAAAGATGAGGCTGTCAGAAAAAAGAGGTGTCACCCTAATTCTGTACTAATTTGATTGAACACATAAAATTTCAAACCCTGACTCTTACAACTAAACACTCAAAGCCCTGGTCAGCTTCAGTTTCTCTTACATTCAGATGTGTTAAATCTCAAGCTCTAGCCACCCCCAGCTTGAAGACATATGCACATTTTGGTGAATAGTTGTTAAAAGTTAACTAAACTAAAAATGCTCACACCCCCCCCCCACTTCCTGGATCACCATTCTTTCTCTTAGCCACTACGTTGCACCAGATCTTACATGCAAAGTATCCCTACCTGCTGCAGTCTGGACATGATGGGCATGTGTGCCTTAACTGCCCCATACCATTTACAAATATGGCATTTCTATTTTAGCTGCAAAGTGATAAGCTATTGCAGCAGATGTCACACATTTGATGAATAATGCCTGGTATTCTTAAGGTATTCTTGCAGATGCCTAGAAGGCAGGGTCAGAAAATTATTACGTTTACCATTTACTAAAGTGAATTGAGCAGAAAAGCAACAGGTTCAAAAAGGGTTAGCATCCTTTCCAAACCTCATAGTAATTGCCTGAGTTTTTTTGGGGGGGAGGTGGGGTAGAATGGAGAAACAGAGTAATAGTGCTTCATCTATTCCTTGCCTCGACATCTCTTCCCCAAATTGCCTCCAAACCTGTTTTTTTCTCCTCTGCAGTGTTCTCAAGGTTTAGTTAAAGCACTTACGCCACTCTTTACCAAAGAACTTCCCAGACTAGCTTACAAATATCAGTAGTAAAACAATCCTTGCCTCAGTCTTACAGTCTAAAAGACATGTCAAACATAGGAAAAGAGATGGCAGGGCATGGGGAAGCAAGCTCAGATACCAGTTCTTAATGTTCAGGTTGATGGACTGAAGGCTGCTGGCTAGATGACAGCTGGGGAGACCCAGAGGAGCTGGTCACTAAAGAAAGGTAAATAAATGGTCCTGCTTTTCCTCTCTTTCTCTAGAAATGCATGTGAGGATTCTCCCTTCAGATAAACTTGAGAAATCCCATGTTTGCATAATTACATAGTTATGTTCTGACTTCTATGTAGCACACCCCAAATTCATCAGTCAGATTGATGCCCCAATGTCTTCCTTTTTTTCCAGTTTATGACCTTCCATCTGGCTCCACAGGTATCTTTGGTGATGCATTGCGCAGCGGAACTGATGACTCAAGCTATCTTCAGATAAATGCTGTGGATCGTTGCCCTAGTCAGCTTTCATCAGTTTATACTGAAGGCTGAGGAGAAGCTACAATCCAGCATTTACTTCCAATCAGAATTTGTTTATTAGTAATTTCCATCAGTCAGCATAAGTGCTAAAGATCTCACTGGAGAAATGAAGAAAACACCACCAGAAAGCACTCAGCTCCACAGATGCAGCTAATACAGTTGGTAGGGAAAGGTGCTGGTTAAAACTTACTTGCCAAAGTGTGATCACTTGCTTTGTTTAATTCAGCCTTTTCTGTGGCAAAACTCAAAGGGATTTTTTTTTAAACTACTGTTTGTTAATTTTTAAAATGAATTGTTGGGATGTTCAGAACTGTCTTTGAAAACCTTTTTGGGAATCCGTAAAAATTAAGAGCAACTAATACCCTTTTGGAAAAAGCAGAGTTTCTTGCATAATGAGCCTGTCTTACGGTGCTTTGGAATCTAAGCACACAATCTCATGGGAAAGAGGGTTAAAGGGAAATTTGTTTTTGAGACATGCTGTGGCACCAGCTGGTGGTGGTAATAGCACTGTTCCAGCCTTTTTTTGTTTTGTTGTTTTGGTATCAAGGAACATTGATTCTGGATCTGTTAATACTCTTTTTATCAACATAGTATTAACAGCATTAGCTTAAGGAGATGCATTTGGTTGTGCTTTCTTAGCAGCACTCCACTGGAGAGAATTCATTCCTCTAGACATTAAATAATTCTTTATAATTTAATATTTATTTTTTTTTAGTTTGCAAATATTTCAAGCCATTTCCAGCAAATTTCACTAACACTTCATGCTCATCCACAAAAGACAAGAGTCTATTCACCACTGTTGAATTCTACATGTAAATGTTAGGGCCAAAGTGCATGTAATGTAGGAGATCCAGTCATTAGCCTTAAAATAAGTACAGAGGTAGAGGTAATTTCAGTCAGTGCTGCAGTACTGTGGGATGACAGCTATGTTTTCCTTCATAATTTTGCTTCTCTACCAGCTGCTATTAGCCATGTAGGGTAAAATAAGGTGCAGTTAAGCTGCCCATCTTATTCCCAGGGAGAATATGGAGGATTTTAATTAAAGAAATGGTGAAGGAGGAAAGGGTTAACTCCCCTTCTCCCAGCACCACAGGGCTGATCCAAATTGTTCCCCTTCCATTTGATTTCAGATCTCCTGGGTGGCATGTAATTAGTCCCAATGGCACTGCTTCTGAAAGACAACACCTTCTTGGCTTTGTCCTTCATATTCTATAGGACCTCTCCAGAAAGAGCTTTTATTCCATATGTTAGTATTTAACATACCATGTTTAAATGGTATTGAAATCATTCTTAAATATGCACAATTTCCCCCTCTTTTTGTTTCCTTTTTTCCCTTTTCTTGCTGAAAAGCCTGGCATGCCAGGTTTTTAATCTATCCCAAAAGCAATTGTTTTGCTGATACTCTTTGTTGTATAGTTAGAAGCATGTGTGGGTAGTGGAGAAATGGATTTTCATGGTCAAGATATGGTCTTTGTCATGGTTACACCATTGTATAATTAAAATGGCAGCTTTCTTTATGTATTTGTAGGCCATTTATTTATACTATGGCCAAAACATTTTAGCAATTTCTAAATGTGCATGTTTCTTGTTAATAGCATGTTGCTGCAGAGGAAGAAAACCTGAAGATGTCAAGAGCCAAAGGAATTATTGTACTCAAAATTTAGTGAGGTTAGGCAGAAGAGCTTTCAGGATCATGGATCAGGCCTCCAATACCCTAAATCATTATTTGGTAGAACTCATACTTTTTGTGTGAATTTATAGGTATGCTGCAGCCATGGTTCAAAAGGATAATCTGCTTTTATGAAAGATAAGCAGAGGCAGCTCAGTTTGTGTTCAGATCCCCTTGCTAAATCCAATCCTGAATGTACTTTCTCTTCCCCTGTAGGTCATATATACAAAGGGAACCCATAAAAACAGATTAGTGTGAACAATGCCAATCAGGTTTTTTTTTATGGGGAGGGGGGGAATGGAGGAGGCATTTAGGTTGCACTTCTTTATGACCAGTTCTGTCAAATTTGGTTATCTATAGGGTTGGGATAATCTGTCAATTTTGGTTTTGCTTGGTTTCTCATTTTCTCAACCATATGTTTATTTTGACCTATTCCAGCATCAGTTTAAGTTCAGCAAAACAATAAATGTGTATGGAAATTTGTATACATACTCATACACATTTCTTCTAATATAGGCATTTTATATGCACTTTTCCTAACATGAAGATTTTTGCATCCTTAAATAATGTGCTGTGTGCATACTTTCCCCAATATACACATTTTTGTGCACAGTTTTCATTCATATACGCATGATATCTGCATTGTAGTTGTAAGACATCATATGGATACGTGCAGATTTCATGTGCAAATGCAATCTTGTTTTTGAATAGGCTGGGGAAGCATGTATTCGGTATGTTCACATACAAATTCTAACTGAACAAATTTCTTATCCATCCCTAGTTCTCAGCCACCTCTGTGGTGGAAGTAGGTGGAAGCAGATCCTTACCCTGTTTGATTTTGCACAGGTGAAGGTCTTTGAATTTGGCATACAGTCTACTCAGGAGTAAGCCTCACTGACCAGTGGGACTTACCCCTATAAGGCTGCAGCAGCCATATACCTGCTTCTTCTCTAAAGAGTTCAATGCAAGTTACATATGGTCTCCTTTGTCCTAAACCTGCTTAACTTCAGCAGCAGAATTCTGCTGCTGGTTTCTGGATATTGTTACGATACTGAAATAATCCCCTTTTATTTTATTGTTTTATTTTAATGTAATGTTTGCTTTACTCAGTTTAGTTTCTTGAAAAGTTCATTATACATTACTGAATCCTTGGATGTCCTAGTTATAGAGGACACTGTTGTAGTGCAAAAATGGTGCTTCATTTTTTGGATTGCTGGGTAATTCTTCCCACTGAAAGGGATTCAGTATAAACTATTTTAATGTAAGGATACAGCTGGTAAAATGACAATATGTTGATACATGGATTCATTTGCAGTTTTCATTTTTCTCAGAACTGAGCTACTGCAACAGTGCAAGTGGGATGCCTCTGATGTTGCTTAAGAAGCCAACCCCTGTTGTATTTGCATGGCCCCAAGATTGCTTTCTCATGTACAAGAGTGAACATATCCTCACAAATATCAGAGAACCCTGCCTTCTACACAGTCATTACTTAGAAGCTCTACCATACCTGGGTAAAAATAAAAACACTACCAGTTTTGGTTGTTCCGATTCTTCCCACCCTTTATACCATTGATGGATCAGTTGTGGCCCTACAAAGTGTTGACACACAATTTCCATCAGTCCTGACCAGCAAAGCCAGTGGTGAGGGACGATGGGAGTGATGGGTCAAAATAATGAACATAAGTTGCCATCAATGCTCCATGCTGTTACATGAGAATAAAGGCTCCTTGGCAGATTGAAAAAAAAAAAAAAATCTCTCCCAGGCTGGCTAGACAGGCAGGCAATGAGACTGTCCATCTTCATCCTTTGCTACTCTCAGAAAAATATATATGTATATTCTCGGGGAAATGTACACTGGAGTTCACATGTACCTTCAACTAGAAAAATATATCAGAAGTCAACTATCCTAGTTTACTAGTATCATTTGCAGAGGCTTTGTAATGGTAATAGTACTGTCATATCCTACCATTATCATAGGATTTTTTAAAAAATCGCTTATTGCCCATGTTGTGTATGTTTGTATGTGCCATTTTATAGCAGCATTTAAAAAAAATACAAAAAAACAGCACTTTCATGTGTGAATTTTTAATGGAACAGATAAATCAAAGAAATTAGTTTGAAAGTTAACAGAGTGGTGTGTTTTTTTTGTAATGTTTGTGCAACGTTGCTCATGCAAAGCACTTTGGGGGGAAGGGAGGGGTTGTGGAAATGTATTTTCTATAAACCTTTTCTTGTACATATTTATATATGCTCCTTATATAGATTTGAATTCCTTATACCATATTGTATATCTGGCTGATTTTACTTTAGTTGGCATATCTTTGTTGCATATTGTATGACTTCAAAAAATTAGTGTCTTTTTCTATTAATATGTATAGTTTTGTGATCGGTTATAATTACATTTCATATAATCATAAGTTATTTTTGTGTTGTTTCATGAAGTCCATTTTTAATATGAAAGGTGAAATGAAGGGTTTGTGCGTATGCTAAAGAAAATAAAGTGAAACTGGAAATTTGTAACACACCAACTTGCCTGGAAAACCTTGATTCAAGTTCTTATCTAAAAATAAGAATTCTCCGACCATTTAATGCCATCAGAAGGACCTGTAGTAGTTGAGCTGAGTACTTAAAATAATGAGAAGCATATCAGAAGAAGGTGAGAATGAAATCTGAGGCTTCTTTGGAAAAGTGTCCTCACTTTGAATCAATGTTTAATACTAAGACTGGATTAAGATAACATGTGGGAGTCAGATACACAAAGGAAGGGAGCAAGAGAAAAGGGAGATATGTTTTGCCAGAACAAAGTGGCAAGCTCTAAATGGGCATTTAAATCCAGTTCAAGTCAGGCTGATCTCTTGCTGGTATTCCTGCACTAAATAATAATTGGTGGCTTTTCTTTCTTTCGCTGAAGGATGGGGCTGGCACAATGTCTTTCCTCCGTGCTTTGCAGTCCCAAGGCAACAGGCAGTTGAGAGAGCCAACAGTTCTTTCTGCTAGGGAGGTGGAGACCTGAGTTCCCTGCAGCTTCTCCTTCTCTGGCTGATGGATGGGCTGTATGGTTTTATCTCTTGCTTTGCCATCAGTCCCTGCTTCTCAGTGGCTGGAGATCCCCTGGCAGATAGCAGAGGCCAGAGTGCTCCTCCCTTTAGCTTTCCAATCCCAGGACACATATTCCATATGATGCATTGCATTTTTGTTAATTATTAACACCCCCACAGTGATAAATTCTATGCCATGAGATAAAGGCATACTAAAGAGGCATACAAAATAGATCACGATAAAAAAATGAAAGAGTGAAACATACTTCTCATGTTTAGTGTAAGAAAAAGAAGCAGACTTCATACAAGTCCTTTACCCTGACAGTGTCTTCGCTCACTGGAAGAACATAGTATTCTGACAATTGCTTGTTCTATTCTGAGCTCAGGTTTTAAATGAGGATAGGCAACTTCAGAGCACCTGGGGTCAGTTTCTAACCCACAGAACCTATCAAGTACCCCTCACACAGTAATCACAGCTGAATTGCCACTAAACTTTGGCAGCAATTTAGAAGCAGCAAAAAAAAGCTGTATTTTCAGTTTAAGCAAGGCATGAAGAGACCGCATGCTGTTTAATGCAAAATTTAATGCAAAGCTGTGTTCCCAGAGGATAGGGGGGAGGCCAGGGTGGCATTAAAACTAGTCACAGGATCTCCACAAGACTTGTTTGAAAGTGAAAATGTAACAGCAAAACACAATAAATAAAATCCACAAAAAACTTATAAAACAAGCAACCATATCCATATGAAGATTCATACCATATCAACCACAGGCATGTAAGCCAAAAAACCACAGACTAATCTTCACAGGGCTAAAGTCAACCTTGCCCTGAAACGATTACAAAATTGCTAAGTCTTGTCCAAATATAGTTAATGTCAGATTTCCCACTGAATTCCATGAAGGCAAAAATGTCTGTTTCCCTACTACTTGTGTAGTGCTACCTTCAGTCCAGCCTTCTCCCTCCTCGTTCTTAATGGATCTCCTCCCAATACCTTCCATTCAATCCAAATGTTTTTATTATAAAGTCAGTTATGAAAACCATTGTACTGCATCTTGCCATGCCATTTATAGATTTGCAGTCAAAGTAAATTTACCAGGCTACCAGCAGTATTAATGATTCACAAAGGAGATGGGCTCATTTAGTGAATTTAGTGAATTGTAACAAAGAACTTCTGCATTACTTGTTAAAACTCCCAGCCTACCTTTGGAGTAACTACTAAATGCTGACCTCATTCATGCAAGGCTGCAATTGTGTACGTATGGTGCAGAGGGAAAGCCAATTCCACTCCAAGTATACCCCTGCAAGCCAAAGGAAAACACTTTTTTTTTTAATCCTTCCCCACTTTTGTCTTTTTATCCATTTTTATCTGAAATTTAATATAATGATGAAAGCAAGTTAAAAATAACACAAGTGAAAGGAGTGAAAACACAATGATTCAAACTTATGCCTGTGGCATAACTGTAATGCCAAACCCATGCAAATATAGGGTTATAGAAGAATGTATATCTCTTAAATACTGGGAGCACTAGGTATTTTTAAACTAGTCTTCCCAAACTGAGTGCCTTCCAGATATCAGACTATAACTCCTGGGAATCTTGACCATACCAGCTGGGAGATGCCTGTAGACCAATGCATCTGAAGGGCACCAAGTTGAGAAAAGCTGCTTTAAATCCTTGGAAACTTTGCCTAGGTAAATATGGCTGAAGAAGCAGAGCATTTGGCCAGCACTTCAATAATTTGATGTAAATATGGATGAGCTGCGATTTTGCCAGCTAGTACGCTATCTCTATTCATTTCAGTGGAAGCTCCAGTCAATACGTGCTTCCCTTAGTTCTCAGGATTCTGCGGGTGGGGCAGAATGGTGACTATTAAACCAATTCAAATATGTATTACAGAAACTTTCTTCATAATACAATGTGTTCTATAGCAAATGCATGAAAAAGAAGTGCTTCTCAAATGTTTTCCTTCTTCCAACAAAGATCTGTTCACCCCCTTTCCCACTCCTCAAACTTGAGGGAAAATCCTGGCAAGTGAAGGCCTTGCTCTGAACACTGGCCTCAGTTCCACAGCCTTACCTCATCCATCAGGCATCTAATGAAGGCAGCATTATTGCATACTAAGTTCCAATCAATTATCTAGAATGGAGGGAGGGTAAAAAGAACAACAAAGAACACCTGACAAAGTAAAATGTTAATAATTCACCCAGATATCTTGGGTAAAATAAACTATCAAGACTCTGTGAGAGAGATCCTACCAAATTTATTTTTTTTTAGAAAGTGTCCCCCCCCCCCTTATTTTTTGCAGCTCCACAAAACTCCCTATAAAGGGCATCAAACAAGGGTAAAAGGGTGTCACTGCTCTGATCATGGTCTATTCCTAATAAACATATCAGATCCCTGTTGATAAGCATTTGCTGTGTAGAAGGTCAGCAAGCGCCTTGCTCCACTGGGCGCACTTGTGGCTTCCAACAATTAATTATGACAATTGTAAGCAGGAATTCCAGGCATGCTGCTTTGTATGGTGACTCAAGTTAACTAGCTGTGGACCCAAGACAAAAGTGGAGTGGGGGGAGTAAAATAGCTTGGAAAAGAAATGATGCAATAAAACACCCCCTCAAAAGGTCACATTCTTTGTGCGAGCCTCAGCATAATTTTAGAAGGTTGTGAGATGCCAGGCATGCCAAGCTAGCACATTCCCGAGGGCCCTTGGCAAGGCATGCTCAACAGGCCCCCTCCCTCACTCAGGCTACCTTCTCACAAGCATTGTTATGAGATGCTGTCACTCACTGTCTTTCCCCTCACTGCTACTGCTTCCTTGCCCAACAAGCAGAGAGCCAGTGGCAAGAAGACTGTGGCATCTGCTGCTGCTATCACCACCACATGGGTCTGGGCTGGAGCAGAAGCAGGGGGACAAGCGGATTGCAACAGAGATGAAGAGAAGCAACCCCAGGGGCTGGTCTCTGGGAGCCTGCCAGACTAAGCGCCTGAGCACGCAGACCCTGCCTTAGATGCTGGTGTAAAAAACGTGGTAAAGGGGGACTTCTGTTCCTGGCAAGCTGGGCCAAGTGGTTCAGCAAGTGGAGGGCCCTGGGCAAGGCACTCTCAGTGGGCCTTCCCCATCCATGGCTCTGCCTTCTTTGTCAGCAGCTGCACTTGCTGTGCCTCCTCTGTCTCATCACTGCTACCACTAGGTTCCTTAAGTGCTAGAGGGCAAGCAGGAACGGCCATGTCCTGATTCTCTTTCTCACTGCTGTCAATGGCTGGGCCACAGCAAGAGGCAGGTGCACAGGCAGGTTGCCATGGGCTGCAAGGGGACCCTGTCAATAGGCCCATGCTGGGCTGTGGGCCTGAGATACCCAACCATGCCTACCCAGGACACCAGCACTGAGGATGGAAAAGGGTGGTGTGTTTGATGATCCAATTAATGAATTGGCTCTTCACATAAACCAGTTAAACTGCACTTATTTCTATGCTAAATTTTGTACATGTCCCTGGCTGGGTCATAATTCTGAGGCCTGTCATAAGTTACGTGAACCAAGGAAGGAGGGAGAGGGATAAATGCAGAAGACTGAACCACACTTAAGGGGAACATATACAGCAGCCTCAGTCAGACTGGCTTTCCACTTCCATTAGCTACAGCCAGGCATGGCCAGTGGTCAGGCATGCAGGCAGCTGAAGCCCAAAACATCAGGAGGGCACCGGGGTAGGGAAGTTAAAAATTGCACTTAAACACAACACAGCGAGGGACAGCAAGGAAGATAGTCCAGGCCAGTTTGAATGCAGTGGTTAAATTGGACTCAGGTTTGACATACCTGAACTGGGGTGAAGTCTGATTCCCAGGCTGAGCTCCCCAGACTGTGGTCCATGTTGACATGTCTGCGCTTCCCGGTTCCTGGCAAGCATACTCAGCATTCACCAGGAACTGAGCCCTACACGTCTGCTGTGCAAATCATGTTCTACTGCTGCTGCATGTGACATGAAAGAAGGTTGCCAGTTGTGCAACCTTCATTCTGAGAGTATTTATTTAATTCATTTATATACTGCCACACAAACTTCCTCTTGACTCAGCTCACTTTCCAAGACAGGGCTGAGCAGAGAGGCAGTCCATGAATGTCAGAGGGACGGATTTCATGAAGCTTCGCTATAATTGTAGTGTTTTGAACCCATGAATGCTGCCAAAAAGGCCTCCCATCATACATAATTCCCATCCTTACCACAGAATCTAGAATTGTTGCTTGTCTGGACTGCTGCCATTGTATCAAGCGCTCTCACTGCCTTCCTAGAATTTTTTGAACTGCAACTTCCAGCTTTCCCAGCCACTGGCCATGGTACATGGAGGTTATGGGAATTGCAGTCCAACACATCAGGAATATACCAAGTTAGAAAAGCTGTTTAAATTCTTCTCAAAGGCTCACAAGGTCCAATAAGATCTCTGTTGATTTCCAGGGGTCTTGGAAGAAACATGTTTTGCTAGCTATCCTCTTTTTAA